TGGGGATACTAGTAATAATACCGACTTCATGGGGGAGGTGTTTCAGGATTACACGTGGTAATGTATGTAAAACCCTTGGCAGCAGGCCTGGTGACAGGTGTCGACTGTTTTAGTGATCAGTTCTGCCAACTTGAATCTTCTAGGGGTTGGAGACAGGAACTGAGGGCAACAATTTTCTACAGTAAGATTCCACTAAAAGGGCAGACCCAGCGCCTCGGTGCCACGCGTGCCCTCCAGCAGTGTGTGTGTGGGGGGGGAAGGGGAGGTTTGCAATTCCTCAGAATTAGGGAGATGGAGCCATTCTCTTCTTGCAGCTCTTTGCCCATTTGTAATGAACAAATTATAATGATTTGTTTCATGTACATCTTTCTTTTGGCCAGTAGACCCCATGATGGAAGAAACTGTGTTTTTCCCATTGCTGTGTCCAGCTCCTTACAGGGCCTGCCCAAATATTTCTTGATTGACAATTGACCGAAGCAGTATTTCTGATTCCATGTAAGTGAACATAGAAGGAGCAAGGAAGGAGAGGACAGAGGGAACACAGACTCCCTAAAGAGCAGGTTACCTTACACAGTTTCCATGTTAAAAGAGCAGCCAGTGGACCCCAAGCCTGGATTTGTCCTGTTACCTGAAGGGGCCTAACCTAGAACCAGGTAGTGAGCCTTGTGAAGGCTCAGATAAGCAACGTAATAAAAATCATAAAAAGCAAATCAACTGTTTTCTCTGATGGCAATGTTATAGCACCCTAAAATATAAAGCTTTTGAATTATTTTGGATAATCTCCCATTTAAAGGACGTAAGAGTCCTTAAAAAATGCCAAGAGTTAGAGGAAATTAGGGGCCCAGGAGCTAGGCATCATGGGATTGTATGTCAGATTTCTCCCGTCCTCAGGGAGAAATCTTTCAGTGTTTAAGCCTCTTGTTTTCTAAATCATAACTACAGCGCAAGGATAAGAGATGGGACACCCAGACTTTATTTAGCACTTACTGAAATGTGATAGGACTTAAAGGCCATTCTGTGTTAAAATACGGTGATCAGCTATTCTTGATCTCCAGTGACAGGGAATTTGAGGCAATAACAAAGCAAAACAAAACAAAAAAATGTAGACTAGAGCCAAGGAATTTTTAAAAATTTAGTTTGGGGATAATTATGAAATCTAACCTAGAGATAGGTAGGAAGAGGGCAGAGCTCCATTTCCCTAGGATTTGGGGGAGTAAAGGATAATTCTATTCTGTGTGAATGATGGGAACCACGTAGTCTTCTCTGTATTTCCGTAAGAATAGAAAACCATACGAGGAGTTCCAGCCCCTTCTTGGAGCTCAGAGTAGAGGCCCCTTTGCAGGGGAGCCCTGTCCAAGTGAAAACTCTATCCCTATGGCCTTTTAGACACTCGGTGGTGAAGGCTGACCCGTGACTCCTGCCAAGCTTATTAGAATTCATTTGTGTTAAGACCTAAGGTTTAGCAGGTGTTTAACGTTGCTGACAGGGGTGCCTTAATATAGGGGAGATACTAAAACTGAGCCACACTGGTATATCTTCTCCAAACCGCATTAAAAACAAACAAAACACACACCCTACTTTTAACCGGGCAGAATTGTGGTAAGCAAGGGTTTATATCGGTCCAGGCAGGGGCAAACGGTATCTCACTTTTCCTAATTTTCCTAATTTTCCTAATTTTCACCAGGGGACGCTAGAGTCATTTCAGAACACGAGTGACCTCCCCATGCTTCCTCTTTCTGGGACCTGCTGCCCGCAGGCTGGAGCCCTCCTTCCTACAGCTGGGCACCCAGGCTTCCCCTACAGGGCGGGAAGGGCGGGGGGACGTGCCCAGGCCACTCCCTGAACCTCAGCGGCAGAGAGGGTCTCTCCTCCTAGCTACCGGAGAGAGATCCAGGGAGAGGAGGGCGGTGAAGTGAGACGTCACGCCCAGCCCGACCTCCTACTTTTCACTTGAGTTGGAATAAGAACACTGAGGGCCAGAGGCAGTAAAATGCAGCGATCAGGGGCAAGGAGGGGGCCGGGGCTGGGAGGGTGGGGAGCTCTGGGCAGGATCTCTGAAGGTGAGGCGGCCTCGCACCCACTGCGGGCCTCCTGGAACTGAGGCCCGGGAGCAGAACAGCTGGCTGGGTGGAGGCCCCTGCAGGAGGGAGACGCAGCCGTGGAGAGATCCGCTCTGGCCCTGCCTCCCGGTGCTTTGGAGCGAGGTGGTTCTGTGTCCACACTGCTCCCGTGCTCTGCCCACCTCCACCTTCGTCACCCACAGGTGGTGCCACGCAGATGGGGAAGGTGAGAGTCAGAGAGTTCCAGCAACTCGCCAAAGGTCACAGGGCGAACATATCTGGACTAAAGTCCGACTCAAGAATCCTGCCCCGACTCCTGCTCATTTATTTTTGCTTCTCCCCTTCCCCCAAGTTTTACAGGGAGACAGCTCCCAGAATGAGAAACATTTGGGCATTGTCGGATTCACTGACACATGCATTTTGCGGCCCCACGTAACATCCTGGGGGCCGCGTGGAGCTCCCGAAGCAGCAGCTGCCACTTCCTCTGCCCCAGGAGGCGGCTCGGTGACGCTCGGGCACGGAAATCCCTCAGGCAGCCTCCGCTTTCCCACCGGCGCCCGCTGCGGCGAAAATAACCCGGCCTGAGCCCGCAACCATCCTGCACCAGCAGGCGGGGTGGCCTCGGCGGCCGTGGGAGGCGTGACGAGCTGCTTTTTCATGTGCAGTTTTGCCCCCGGCCGCCCCATCGCAGTCCTGCCCCAGCGGGGCCCTCCGCCAAGGGCCTCCTCGCAGTGGCTGTTTTTCTCCAGTTACCCTCCTGAACGCGGCCCTCCCTTCCCTTTGTAAGAGCGGAGTCCGGGAGCACAGACATCGACACGTACATGGCCCAGGGCCTCGGCGCGGAAAGGCTCCGGCGGCCCCTCGCCCGCCCGCCCGAGCACCAAGGGCCCTGAGAACAAACTGATGGAGCGGCGGCTGGGAGTTTAATCCTGCTGAGGGCAACTGCCCTCAGCACGTGAGTTTATCCACGAGGCAGGCATCAGAACACGGTCAGAAACACAGCAGCACAATGCATCCGTTTCCACAGGGCCCTCCCCGTGGCCATGGACACGCTTCCTGAGCAGCTACTGCACAGGTCACAGGTCTTACAGCTTATTCACCGCAGGCACAGGGCTGCCTGAATAGGCTTTGTTCACATTTTCCTAGTGGATCTTTTTTTGGATTTCAAACCATTAGTGCCTTAACAGAATTAGTTTGAATCAGCCATCCGATTTGATGTTAGACTTACACAACCATTTAATAGGTGGCCTTCACGTGGCCTATGGCAGCCAATAATATATATATTTTTACATTTGCACATGAGTTTTTATTGTATAGGACACTGTCACCAGTATTATTTGATCACAGCACGATCATGTCAATGAGGCAAGGATTTTGTATTCAGGGTGGGATGCCAACAATTTTTAAGGAATAAAGAGTAATAGAAGACCAGTTACAAAATGGGGGCATTTTTTTTGGGGGGGGAAGTCACAAAATATTAAAAGCATCTTTGTGTTTTTAAAACCAGGGAAAGTTTGCTATTCAAACGTCCAAAAACAAAATGTTTTTGAACATTTTGCAGATATTTTAGAGAAAGGAAAATAGGTGTGTGTGTTTTTAAAGAATAGCTGATCCATTTTTTTAATGAATGATCAGGAAAGCAGAGGTGAGAGGTGACTTCAGTTTCACAGGCAAATCTATTTATGTGTGCACATGCGTGTGCATATTTTCTGATTACATCATACTGAGGTAACAAGGAGCCTGGTCAAAATAGGACTTTCATGGGAAGAGCTGCTTGACAGTGTGGAGGGAAGTGGGATCCTGAGCTTTCAACACCTTACCAGGGAGACAATGAGAATGAGGTGCCACCAAGGCAATCCTAAACCACCTGTGCCCTCAGCAACTGAGAGCGAGAGTAAAATGCATTCGCTCTGAGAACTACTCCTAGAGAACTCCAGGGAGAAAGTCTGCAGGCCTTGACCTGCATAAAGTGACAGATAAGGGGCTGGGCAGTGGTAGAGGACCCTGGTGCAGTGTCCCTGGTTAAACACAGATTTCTTCCCCAAAAGTGATGTGACCACAGAATTGCACTGTTTGAACCGGAGGCACGAGGAGGTCTTTTGCCTTGACTGAATTTGCTCCAGGAGCCCAAGTCCGAAGGGTGACGACTGTTTCCTTGATGCTGATGTCACCTGTCTCTTAGCACTGTCAGTCATTTCTCTTACTCTTCTCCTGCTAGGAAAGTTCTGTCCTTTCCCCTTCCACCTGGGAGCTGGTCTGTGGACTAACGGGGCCTTCTCAAGAAGGCAGAGCCTGAGTTATGGGGTCAACACACAGCAGTGAGATGCAGACACTGAGGAATAGGGAAGCACCCAAGCCCTGGTCCCAGGGAACTGATAGGAGGAGTGAGTGACCAGGCCCGATCCAGAGTCTCTCTAAGGAGGCCAGGAACCTGGGAAAACATACAGCATTCCTTCTGAGGAGGTGACCAGCTGGTGCTGATAAAACGTCCATCCCAGAGGTGTAGGGCATTGGGTGCACCCCTCTACCAGACTCTGAGGAGCCACGTCACTCCAGCACCTGGAGAAGCGAGCAGCAGACGCTGCAGAAGTGCAAAGGGGGCCCACCTAAAGTTTCTGGGTGTGGGGTCCACGCTGCTGGTGGGCATGGAGGCAGCTGGAGGGAAGAGTGCAACATCATTCTGCAAGTCCCAGGTGAGGGTGGGAGGGCTCTCAAGAGTTGCAACATAAGCGGGTGCAGGCTTCTCCACTCCTCAGGGCTTGCCCCTGTCCACAGCTGCGGGTCCCCTTCGGCCTCCCTTCTTGCAGGTTGGAATCTCCCCAGCTCCTCTCCTCCCTGTGTGAATGTGTACAGAGCTGACGCCACAGCCGGTGAGTGGAGCATTTGGCAGTGGTTACTTTGCTGCAGGCCCTGTATTTTTCATGGAACAGCACCAAGATCGATCGCTCCCCCTCTCCCCTCTTAATGCTGGAGGCTCAGAAGACAGGGATCTTGTCCCTCGGAACCACATCCAGGTCATCATCCAGCGTTAACAAAACCTGAAAGGAGAGGGGCAGAGAAATGAAATGAACGCACAGTCACAGCACAGTAAGACATTATTTTCTCTCTGAGACTCATGCAGACCGAAACTACAAGTGCCCTTACTCGTACTCGTTTTCATGTCTTCTGCAGCTTTCTACAAGGCTGTGCTCTTAACAGGCACTTAATATAATTACACAGCTCATTTATTAATTAGTTCAAATATTTTTCAAGGCTCTATCATGTGCTTGCTAATCCAGGTGCAGGAGAGACAGCTTGCAATGACAGAGACAAAAAATCCCTACCCTCCTAGAGCTTACGTTCGAGAGAGGGCTTTGGACATGAAGCAAACACATGAGTGAAATATACATAGTATGTGAGAGAGAAATGTGTGCTAAGCATAGTATGCTAGATGGTAATATGTACTAAGGATAAAAAGTAAACTATGGAGAGAACATGGGAAGTACGGAGTGGGGAGAGGTAAAATAATATTTTGAGAGGGTGGCTGGGGAAGTCATTACTTAGAAGAGACCATTTAGGTCAAGACCTAAAGGAAATGAAGTCTTATTGCATAAAGTGTTACTATACAGAAAGTGTACCCTCCTCCTCCATATTTAGGTCCCTCTACCATCGCTCTCTCCACATGGAACCCTTCACTACACTTTTGTTGTCTCCCCCTTTCTAATGAAAGTGGGGTCAATGGGGAAAGGGGGGGCATATGTAATACTTTCAACAATAAAGATAAATTAAAAAAATAGAAGTAAAAGCCTAAGTAAGAATGATTATGCAGATTAAATTTCTGAAACTGGCCACTAGGGGGTAGCCCTGCTCCACTCGCCGGCAGAGACTTCTTAAAGCGGGCAGTGTTGGGAATCCTGGAGACCTTCTCCTATTATTTGTCAAATGAACCTGTATAGATTCCATGGACTTTTAATTTAATTTGGAAAGTCAAAATTAATATGAAAGGATGCCAGGAGTTATCATCTAAGGCTGTTATAATACACCTGGCTTCCGGAAAGGTGTTTGAGTAAAATGTGGAGGGACTACATGAAAGATCTGGATGGAACCCACTGGTTAGAAGGCAATAGAGGCCCGGATGCTATCCTGAGCTACTCCAGGAATTTGTAAATGATTTAAAAATATATATATATATCTTTATTGATTTTAGAGAGAAGAAAGAAGAGGGAGAGAGAGAGATAGAAACATTAATGATGAGTCATTGATCGAGCCCGCAACCTGGGCATGTGCCCTGACTGGGAACCGAACCCTGATCGCCTGGATCCCAGGTCGATGCTCAACCGCTGAGCCACGCTCGGCCGGGCTGTAAATGATTTTTAAGCTCTTCACTGAGACTGAAATAAGAGGAGGAATGTGAGTATAGCATAAGGAGGAATAACCTAATGCTATCAAAATTTTAGTGGATGCTAAAAGCGGTGCCTGGGGGGATTCTGGGCCTGTGAGTTCTGATAACCAATTCAGTCCAAACGTTGTGCAGCTTAAGGGAAATCATTTTGCCACTCTGTATCTTAAAATATTGAAGAGCAAATAAAAATAAAAATAAAACTCTAACCAAAAGATACAATGTGAAAAAAAAAAAAGAGACAATCTGTACATTGAATTACAATGAGGAACTGGAAAAGGAAATTAGAGAATACAAAAGAGGGTGAAGGAAGAGGGGGTGAGGGAAAAAGAGAGTACAGGAAGAGAGGAGAAATTAACAAAAAGGTGTTATAAACTCACCAAGAATGAGAAAAACAGGGCAGTGGCAGACAGGAAGTGCCAGATGTCATGTTCATCAAAGAAATCCAGCAGGACACATTCCCGGTTCTTCTCCCGGGACTTGGCCGGGGTTTCCTGGAGGAAGGTGAGGCAGACGTGGGCGAGCAGTCCCACAGTTCACCGGTTTAGAGCGGTTTGTGTAGCATTCAGAAAGCTACACAAATGCTACCAGATGCCAGGCTCAAAAAGTTAGCTTCCAAGAAAACATATGTTCACAAAAAAGCTTGTATATAAATGTTCACAGCAGCATCATTTGAAAGAACCCCAAAGTGGAAACAACGCAAAAGTACACCAACTGATGAGTGACTAGATAAAATGTAGTATATCCACACAACGGAATATTATTCAGCAATAAAAGGACCTGAAGTACTGATACATGCCATAGCGTGGGTGAACCTAGGAAACATTATGCTGAGCGAAGGAAGTCAGACTCAAAAGCCACATAGTATATGATTTCACTTCTATGAAATGTCCAGAATGCGCAGATCTATAGAGACGAAAGAGATTAGTGGTTGCCCAGGGCTAAGGGTTCAGGAGAAACGGGGAGTTTATTTCTGGAGTGATAAAATGTTCTAAAACTGATTGTGGAGATGGAGAGTGGAGACCTCCCTGTTCTGTGCGTCAGCAATACGTATTACTAATTCCCTAGGCCTCAGCTTTCCAATCTACGAAATGGATTTATAAACATCTGAGCCTGGATATTTGTTTATGGATGATGATTATGAGGAGAAAGGAGGAAAAGATACACTAACCAAGGTTTCTGATTCACATTAAACATTCATTGGGAACAGGACCGGAACACAATACACAAGGAAGGTAAACGTGCAGGGTCTGGAGGGCTTACGCATTTATGAGTGCTACTCTGACAATGAGGACAACTGGACGTTCAGTGAGCGTTTGTGTGTGGATATTAAAAGTTTTAGAGAAAGCTTTTGTTTTAGAGAATATATATATGTATATATATATATATACACACACATATATACATATATATNCTGGACGTTCAGTGAGCGTTTGTGTGTGGATATTAAAAGTTTTAGAGAAAGCTTTTGTTTTAGAGAATATATATATGTATATATATATACACACATACATATATACATACACACACACACACACACATATAAACAGCAACTAGCACAGGGAGAGAGGGAGGCAGGAAGGTCAAAAGGCAGGATGGAGGGAGACGAACACCTTGGAAAAGAAAGCTGTTCTCTTACCTCCCAGCTGCTGAGATTCTGGAAGAAAAAATACAGCGAGGCAACCCACATCACAGCGGTGGCGACGATGCAGAAGAGCGGGATGGGGAGGACCCTCTCGGCGCTGCGGAGCTGCGGGTGAGAGGCGGAGGCTGCCGGGCTGCCTGCCNGAGGGCGGAGGGCGGGGGGCCGAGGCTGTGCAGCTCGGGGCGCCCCCCTTACCTTCATGATGATGTAAAAGGCCAGGTAGAGCAGCAGGTTGCCTATGAAGATGCCCAGCATGTAGGAGGCGAAGTCCCTGGGTCGGTAGATGAGCCCGAAGAGGGCGCTGAGCACATGGGGAGGAATTAGTTTCCAGCCTCGAAGGTGGATTTGTGACATTACTGACTTTTTCACTTCCTCACTCCCATGTTTGCAAGGAGGGGAATTTTAAAAACCCTCTTTAACATATTACAAGTAACTTTTAACTGGTATCTCCTTCAGCACATTCATTTTTAATGTTTGTGAGGTTCCCGCAAGTGGCTGCACCGTAAAGAATCAATTTTCCTCTCTGGTTGAAATGAAGAGTTTTCCCTTCGCCCTTCAGCTTTTCACTGTTACCGAGAGCGCCGCAACGAGCGAGTGAATCCCTTCGGACACACTGTGCTCTTTTTCACTGAAGACTAAGTCATTAGACTAGGTTACTAGAAGTAGGATTATCTCAACAATTGGTTTGACATACATGGTCCATTTTGGATAGCTGTCTATGGTTTTAAAATTAATAATCAAATTTATTACCCTGTCTTCCAGAGTCACCAGGTCTCTGGGGTCTGCCCTAAAAGGGGGGCCCAAGAGAGCACTGCCGGCGAGCACTGCCAAGAATCGCCCATCTCGACTTGCCCCCATGTAAAGCAGGGCCCTTCACAGCTATGAACCTTAACCTGAGGTCATCCCTGGGTGACTACGCTATGGGGAGTTTCTTCCAGAAGCATGTGGCACCCCAAGAAGATTCAAATTATCTTGAGTAGATTTGTCTTCCCTTGAAGATTCTTCTCTTTCTTCATTCCTTTTTTGTCTTAAAGGGCAGCAGAAGTAGAGACTCATCTTTCTATCAAAGGTCACTGCCCCAGAGGTGCTCATCAGCTAAGAACTGCAGCTAAACTTACCTATTTTTGAGGGATTAAAAATATCTCACTCATTCACATATTTTTAAAATCCTCATCTGAGGGTATGTTTGTATTGATTTTAGAGAGGGGGATGGGGTGGGAAACATCGATGTGAGAGAGAGAAACATCGACTGGTTGCCTCTGGTATGCTCCCCGACTGGGGATCAAACCCCCAATCTAGGGGATGTGCCCTGACCAGGGAATTGAACCTGCAACCCTTTTGGTGTACAGGACGACACTCCAATCAACTGAGCCACCCGGCCAGGGCTCATTCACATTGTTAAGTCGAGAATAGGTTGCATAAAATAGTTACAGCTAGAAAAAATATAGGATGTCCCCTCAAAATGTACACACACACTTCGAATAATTATAAAGGCAGTGCTTATTGAAATACATTCCATTTTCAAAATTGAGCTATCCGCTATTGAAGTGTGTCTACATTTTTTCAAGACACCCTGTATTCCTCTGTTGTACTGTTCTATTTTGAGGTCATTTGAGGAAAAGAAGGCCAAGGTGATAATGAGGGGAACAAAGAAGAATGGTATAGGTGGAGTAGGAAGAATGAGACCTAGAAGGAAAAAAATAAATAGGAAAGAGACGTTTACACACACACACACACACACACACACACACACACACCCTACTGGGTAGCCTTTATGGAAAGTTCTACAAAGAAATTGAAAACTATGTTGCATTTTTGCAACTAAAGGCATAATTATCTATCTACCTATCATCCATCCATCATCTATTATTATCTATCATCTATCTATCTATCTATCTATCTATCTATCTATCTATCTATCTATCTATCATCTATCTATCTATCAACATCTATCATCTATCATCTATCGATCATCTATCTAACCTATCCAATTCGATGTTTGTCTTGTTGAGCAAATGAACTCAGTGCATTGAACTCAACGACTTAAGAGGATCCACTGTTGGTACACAAGAGCTTCCTGGTGCATTCATTGCAGGAGAAAAAATTCCTTTCTCTCAAGTCTCTAGGATGAGCTTAGTCCTACGCTCTACTTAACTTCAGATTTCTTTGTAAAAATGTTAACCAAGGAAAGCTAAACCACAGTGTTACAGACATTAATAAAGAGAAAAAAGTGTCTTCCTAAGGTTACTTACAAGAACCAGTTAACCAGATTCCCCACGATGAGCAACACCATTCTGTCCTGAAGAGGAGGAAAGAAAACATTGAAAAACCCTCAGCCCCAATTCCCTCAATTTTCAGTGCCTACAGATCCTGTCCAAGCTCGAGGAGGCTAAGAGGTTCCCACATTCCTTTTTGTAAAAAACCCTTCTGCTTACAAACCATTAGCAGGTGCTTAGTGAGCTCCTGGGTGCCCGGCCCAAACAGCATCACTAGTCTGACCACCGCTCCGTGTAAAGGCTCAGGGGAGGTGTGTAGCTTTCTCAAGGTCACCGGCCAGTGAGCCAAGACATAGCTATGACCAGGGCTCTGATTCCTCTGCTCAGGGTAGAAATGTATAATATACCAAAAACTAAAATGGAGAAATTTTTAAAGTTGTAGTTCAACCATTAAGCAATAACCACAGTTTTGAAAAAATATCTTTGCTTATGGTAAAAACAACAACAACAATGTATAAAAATCAAACAAATGTAGAATGTGGACAGTCTAAGTTCCTAATTGGAGTGGCGACAGGTCCCAGTTTGCTTGGGACAGTCTGGTTTATGCCTGCCGTCTTGGTGCAGTTATTAATTGTGCCTCCTTTCATGCAGGCAAGTGAAATAATCTTACTTCCCTCAATGATTATTTATAGGGACACTCCCACAGCAATGATCACTGTTTAAGAGTTTTATACACACACACACACACACACACACACACACACACACACACACACTTTCTTCATATACTACAGTCTTTCATGTACAAAAATGGGACCACCCCAGCTCGTTTTTTATGAACAAGAAGAACATGTAACATGCTTCTTCCCCTTGACTGGACCTCGGCCACCCGGGCCACGTGGCCTCTGGGCTGGAGGCTGAGGGGCCGCGGGCCTGCCCCTGCCGCTCCCCCGGGAGGCCAGGGGGTGCGGGCGCGCACGTACCATGTACAGAGGCCGGCTGCACTGCCGGATGAAGTCCGTGTAGAGCACCATCGCGGCCCGCCGGAAAATCCCCAGATCTGCCGGTGACACAGCGACGGGAGGGGCTCAGTCAGGGACAATGCAAAAGGCTCCCTTAGGGCCCAAGCTTTTGGGGCCAGGGCGATGATGCCTTCACGTCATAAAAACGGTGCTTTGTGCCTAATAGGTGCGCGATGAACGTTTGCTTTAAACAATGGCACCCTCACCGCCTGTGCTTTCATGGAGGGTGTGACACATCCGTGGGGCATACTGCGGACAGGCAAGCGAGATGGACACGCGGAACCAGCAATCACAAATAATATGGGTGTCTGGCCAGTCCTGCTATGGTCTCCTTCAGCTAAGTTTCCCTTTGTTTACAATTTACTCCAGTGGTGTTTCCTTTATAGCAGAGGCTAAGGGGCCCCTCAAACCCCCCTTAAAACATCTGTTCTCGCTAGAGCAGGGGTGGGGAACATCCGGCCCACAAAATCATTTGGTCTGGCCCTGCCAAGGCAACCGCAGGGGGACTCGAAATTCAATAAATCTAGGAGATTTTTTTCATAACTAATTTTTAAGTTGATAATTTTGCATGGCCCACAAATGATGTTATAAATATCCAAATGGCCCTTGGCAGAAAAAAGGTTCCCCACCCCTGCTCTAGAAGATGGGAAATCTTAGCTTGTCAAAGTTCTAATCTGTACTTCTCAATGTGGTTATGAGTCAGTAAGAATTGAACCAAGGGATACTGGAGCTTACTGAGAGCATGCAGAAAGCCTAAACCTGTACTGAAATAATCATCAAAGGAATTTAGTTAGGATGGAGAGAAAAAGACAGGAAAGATTTTAAAAAATGCAATCCTTCAAAAGGATGGTACGAAACACAGTGAGTGCGTGCATGTTATAACTGTTACAGGAACAGAGTCGGGGTCACAGGTGGGCTGTCTTTTTTTTCTGAGCCGTCCGCACTGTAGACATCACATGCAAGGCTGGGCAAGCATTCAGTGAGGGTGGATCCCAGCTCTGTTGTGAATGCTACCCCTGGGGTCAATTTAACCAGCCTTGGCTGGACTCTTAGACCCACAGAAGGAGGAAGGGGACCAGGGCATATCCATGCAATAGCCCAGAAGAGGTGTGCAGGCTGGGCTGGAGTGGTCCTTGCCTCTGAGCCTCTCTGGCTCCCCCTCCCACCGAGCCTGCTCAACCTGGAAGGAGGTGTTCAGGGAGCAGAGCTGGCAGGACAACCAGGAGGGTGGCTTTGTTAGGAAAAGAATCTAGAACCCTGCAAAGGGCTGCTGAACATTACCTGTGTCAGACACATCTGAATCAGTGGAAAGCAGAGCAGAAATGAGGGAAAAAAAAAGATTTGTAAGAAGGTAGCCAAACAGGTAAATTACTGGTCATTTTATTTTTCCCTCTAAATGGATGACTTGAAAGTTATTTTCTGATTATAAAAGTAATGTTTGCTCATCATAAAGAACAGAGTTTTGCTGCCTGTCTCAAGCACTCAGAAGCTCACTATTCCTCCAGGAGGGAATCAGACTTCTCTGTCTGTCTCCTGTGCACCGCTTACAATTTGTAATCCACCCCCTCTCACGATCTGCGGCTCCGGCGGCACGTTGGAGGGATGCTGGCTGTGCCAATGCCAGGGCTAAATCTACTGGCCACTCCCAACGGGAGGCCTAAACTGCCAAAGTAAGAAAACGTGTTTTAAAATTGATTTTATTTTAGAGAGAGAGGAAGGGAGAGGGATAGAGAGATAGAAACATTGATGAGAAAGAAAGGTCATTGATCAGGATCGAGATTGAAACCCAGGCATGTGCCCTGACCAGGAATCGATGCTCAACCACTGAGCCACACCAGCCTGACAAGAAATGTTTTATTCGGTTTTCTCTTAAATAAGTCACTTGTTTATGTAGAATTATTCCTAGACCTGGGCAAGAGAGGGTCTCCTGTTTTAGAGGCCCTCGTTCCCCACTGAGTGCGAGCCTGCAGGGCAAGGGGACTCCTCCTTCTAGACCACATTCTGAATTCCTGAACCCCAGGATTCCCTGCCCAGATGGCCTTGAGCCTGCTCTTGGAGTCTGCAGAGCCCCATTGCCTGGTCTATCTTCCTGAGGGCGGGTGGCACCATTACTTTTAGGGGCAAGGAGTGGACGTTTGGACATTGAACGAGGGTGTCCATATGCATACCTGTGAGACCCCTTAAGATGAAGGACAGAGACAGAGGTGGGGAGAAAAGAGAGGCAGGGCCTGGGGACAGCTCTCCTATGTTCTGAGGAACTGAGAATTCTAAATTTGAACCTGGACCATCTGGGTTATAATGAAGGCATATTCTATTTATCAGTTTGTTGGTCTTCCTGTTTTCCTTTCCTTTCCTTCCTTCCATGTATTTAATGGTTTTTTAGTGTGCTTTATCACTTTAAAATCTTTATACATATGGGCTTTTATTTGCAATCTTTGCCTTGGGCTCTGCAAATATTTGGAGTGGTCCTATGTTTATATATAATGTTTTTTCTTGACATGGACAAAAGAATATTTAAGTCTGACTTCATGGACCTTAAAAAGGCTGGTGAAATTTAAATGCTCTAAGATGAGTCGAATCTGCTCCCATCTGTGATGACTGACCAACAGCAGACCAGAAGCTGATTTCTCTGGAACACTTAAGTGCTCTATGTTCACATTGTCAGAGGGAGTCCAGTAGGTGTCCCACCGCTAAGACTGGCAAGCTGGTCTCAAAAAGTTCCAGTCCCAGAATTTGAAAATAATATATAATTCATTCTTGATAACCACTTATCGTGCATGGTTAAAGAAATGCTCCTTTGCCCTGGTCAGGGGACTCGGTCGGAGCATCGTCCCGTACACCAAAAGGCTGCAGGTTTGATTCCTGGTCAGGGCACATCCCTAGGTTGTGGGTTTGATCCTTGGTCGGGGAGCTTAAGGGAGGCAACTGATCAATATGTCTCTCTTATATCGGTGTTCCATTCTCTCTCTCTCTCCCATCCTCTCTCTCTCTCTAAAACCAATAAAAACATATACTCGGGTGAGGATTTAAAAAAAGAAAAGAAATGCTCCTTTTAAATGCTACAAACCGAAAATCATCCCCTGCGTAGAACTAGTGGTATGACACTCATACTGTTCTGTGAATGCACTTTCAAAGTTTGGTGGATTGCAAAGTGTGCGGGACCTGGAGCTGGAGGTACGCCTGAGCTCTCAGGTATGGCAAAGTTAGTTTCTCAGGACTAGAACTAGTGATGATAGTTCACTGCAACCCAGTAAAGGAGAGGAAGCATTGGAGAGAATATATGATATTAAACACAACACAGAATTCAGAGCACGTATTCACGTGAGCAGCAACACTTCCATTTAGAATCAGTGAAAACAATGTTTTCTCAGTGTGTTCAGTAAAGGGTAAGAGACGACTCACCTATCTTGAAACGACCCATGTAGTAGATCTGGGTGCTGAGGGCCAGAGAGGCCAGTATGTGGATCGCAGAGAAGATGACCCAGAACCACACATAATTTTCCCCAAACACCTAGAAATAGATAGAAGTTACCTTCATCTGGGATTTCCCCAGAGAACTTTCTAAAATCAGCGCTCTCTCATATCTGCATAAGGAACCCAAAACCGAGCTGTGCACGCACTTCGGTTTTTTCCCGCTTCTCTGACCTCACAGGGGTCCGTCTTACTACACTCAGGGCAGGAAAAAGAATGGCTACCTGGCCAAATGAAAACGGGTGAGGGAGGAATGGGCGAGGCAGCTGAACGGCAACGGTGAAGTGGTGATAGGTTTAAAGTTGAGCTCCTGCCCTTCAAATACCTGCAGACAGCTAAGGCCTGTCCACGCACAGTTAGGAAGTGGTGTCTAAGGGTTTCTGAGTGTCTCCAGTCTTGTACATCCCTGTTTCAGTCTCACAGGACTCAAGCCCCAGCTTTCTGAGGGGGGGCCGAAGGCTGCGGGGAGGGGCTCACCACTCCGAGGACGGTGAGCGAGATGACCAAGGCGAAGGAGGCGTAGGCGGCGTAGGCGCTGGCGTTGATGTCTGGGTGCCGGGTCTGATAGAGCTTCAGCATGCAGAGGCCGGCGATCATGTACATGAAGGAGGTGTCTGAGGGCGCAGAGGAGCCGAGGCCGTCAGGATCCAGCAGGGAACAGATTTCTCCTGCGCCCAGGAAAGCCCCCTCCCCTCAGCCTGTGTGGAGACCTCCAGCATGCCCGCCTCCAGGCACGTTCTCCGGGCAAGCCACACATACTCCACTTCTGAGCCCCTTCAGAGCCGTTTCAAGTTCACAAGACTATCCGATGATATGGTAAATCATTGACTATTCCTGCTTGCAGGGGTATTTGGGTTTAAATGCTGGTGTTCAACAACAATAAAAAAGCAGCCCTAATGGTGACAGTTAAGGCACTGTGACAATAAACTGAATCCTAGGTGGACGTGGGAGGTCTTCCTCAGCATGCTGAGGAAGCTGAGGATTTGGAAAGCAGTTCAGAAAAGGACTTCAACTTTACACAATATTTTATTTCTTAAAAAGTAGATTTAAGGCAAATATTTTAAATATTGGCATTTGTTCATTCTGAGTGGTGAATGATATTGTTCTCTATAGCCACACTGATGACTGCCCCTGTTTAGCTTTATAGCCTAGAGGTGGAAAACAGCTAGAAATTAAATGTGGCTTAGCTGCATGAGAGTTATGGAAATGCATATTAAAACAATAATGCAGTATTCTGTGTTACTCAAAAACCTAATAAAGAATTTAACTATCTGACAATAACACACTAGCTAGTGATGATGTGGGGGAAATGGGAACTCTCACACTGCTAGCAGGAGTGGGAATTAATGCTCTGGAGAGAAACTTGGCAGTTTTTGGTAAAACGGAAGATGCATATCGTTTATTGCAGGTGACCCCAAAATTCTACTTCTGGGTACCCCAGAGAACCTCTCTCACATGTACACAGAGCTGAACACAGGGGTGTTCATTGTAGCACTGTCTATAACAGCAAAACATTGGTAACCTCTGAAGGTTGTTTGATAGAGGAATTGATAAATGTGGTACATTTTTAGTGCAGAATATGACAATCCTTAAAAATGAAAGAACTAGTTATCCTTGATTCAATATTGATAGATCTTGAAAACATATTGTTGGATGAAAAAAGAGGGCTGCAGAACAATGTGTGGTAAATTAATGTCAATTTACTATAAATGTAGTAAAACTATAAAAACCAACTGGAAGAATAACTACCAGAGTATCACAGTTGTTGCCTCTGGGGAAGGAAAGAGGAGGATTTGGAAAGCAGTTCAGAAAAGGACTTCAACTTTACACAATATTTTATTTCTTAAAAAGTAGATTTAAGGCAAATATTTTAAATATTGGCATTTGTTCATTCTGAGTGGTGAATGATATTGTTCTCTATCGTTTACCCTCCTAAAAATGTTTTCTAATTTTAAAAAATGAAAATGTGACAGAATTTCTGTGGTGTTCTAAGTTAACAGCCAGAAGCTGGAGCACAAACATAAAAACGACTGCTTTAAAAATCCTTACTCTTGAGTGTGGATGACACTGTTAATTGCATCAGCTCTTCCCTCCTCCTTCCTGGCTGCATCTCAGTTCTCACTCAGATTTCTTAGACCCATTTTCAATTCAAAAATGCGTACCCTTCCAGCCAATTTGCTTCAGAAAGGCTAACCCCACCCCTGCTCCCAGGGATGGGCCTCCTTTGCCGTGGTGATTGGTGTGGCAACCCAGGCATGAGCTAACCAGCACTTAGAGAACAATCCTGGAATGGGCTCATGACTCTCTAAGCTATTGAGGTGTGAGAGGGCGTTATCTGGGGGGTTTTAGAAAGGAAGTTTCCTTGCTCTTAAATGTAGGCTCCTGAAGCCAGCTTGCTGTACCCTCCAGATATCGTGGGGTGGAGACAGGAAGCCAGAACCTGCTGTAGTTACATTTGCCACTATGAGTTCCCTGATAGACTGAGAATAAAAGCAACCTGTGAGAAGTGGAGCCAGAGCCATTAGCCCTCTCCACGTTTGGAGTTTCAAATGGTGACTGATAAATGTCTTTATTATTCAACTCAATTTGAATTGGCTTTTCTATTATGTTCACCCCAAAGCAGCCTAACTGCTAAATTAGGCCAAGTTAGACTGAAGGACCTTTCCAGACACTTGTTGGTGAGTTCTACCTGACCTGCTGCCTAATGCTTAGCCCACTCCCCACCTGCAGATCTGGCCATGGGATCAACATTCAGTGCTGAGAGTTTTCTAGTCTAAAAGGTGGTCAGAGAGAAAAAAAATGGTACAATATGTGGAAACCATGCCCTGTGGTGAGGTGCCCTCAGAACATTTTAGCTCATGTGAAATGTCATTTAATGCTTGCAAGTTTGGGGAGGGTCCCAGGATAAGATTCCAATAACTCAAATCTGTGTAGTTATGTAAATTCTAATTACCAAATTGGAAGTTGGAGTAATTAGGGCAGATGTGGTAACAAGCACTGAGCACTCCTTCCATCATCAATGCGATGCCCATAGCATAGAAGAGACCAAAGTGTTTGGGAATCCCATACTCCTGAAAAGGGAGAAAGATACCAGTGAGTGACATAGCCATAGGATCTGGAAGCCCGAGGTTCTGGCCTCAAGCATCAGAATCCATCATCACCACCCAGTCAGATGTCCTTCCTCTTTGCAGATCCTGTTTGAAATCATAACCCTTCTTGGCTCCCACTTCCGATGTACCCACCCTCTTCTCACCATGGCAAAAATGTCCTTGGCTTCCAGGGCTTTTCGATGGAGAACGTCCCGGCGCAAGACTATCAGCAGGAAGAGGAAGCCCAGGAGCACATGCCCCAAGTTACTGAGAATATTGTTGAAGGCACTAAAGAGATGAGAGAGAAACCGTGAGAGAGTCAGGCAATCAAAGGGACTTAGAGAAGGAATGCAAGAATTAGCCAGGGAACTCGGCATTCCCTGCCAGGGAACTGCTAACCCTTCCATAACATTCCAGGACTGGAAAATCATCAGAGATCATCTTTAACTTTTTATTTTAGGATGCTTAGCCTGTAAAATATGTCCATTTTTTTGTTTTTTTTTTCAGGGGTGCCCACTCTGCTTTCCTCACACCCTCCCAATCCTCTCTGGTCCCAATGTCATTGGTATGGAATGAATCCTGGGAAAGAGAGATGCTCCAAAGATGGACAGTCTGGCCAAGTGTTTTGGCTGCACTGTAAGAGGGAATTCTCATAGATGGACTCACATTATGTGTCAACTCCCAGCTCTGTAGATGTGAATTTCAGGATAAGTGTTAGTTGGTCACAACTAGTGGCTTTAATTCAGAAAACTGAGGCTAGCTCTCAATTCCCAGGTTTAGGCTCTTTCCACTTCTGGATGCTACAGCATGGTCTTGGAGGCAGCAAGTGTGGGTTCAAGCTCCTACATCACTAACAGCTAAGGGGCCTTCAGCAAGTCTTTACCTTTCTAAGCCTTAGCACCTTCATCTAAAAAGGATGATGATGATACTAACACGGTCTTTCTCATGAGGTTCTTTAATGCATTGAATGTACTAGCAGCTCATGCCCATGGAAGTGTGTCATCACAGCTAGGGACCTGATGTCTTCAAAAACATCCCTGCCCTGGCCTCAGCAGATCATTCTTAAGAATGTTTCCTGAGGCCTCATACAGGAATAAGAGAAGCATATTGGTCTCAACTTCTTTATTTCATTCTTCTTTATCCATGACTGGGGGTAGTTTTCCGCAGATGTTTTTAGTATTTTTATTTTTATTTATTTATTTTTTAATCCTCACCAGAGGATATTTTTTCCATTGCTTTTCAGAGAGAGTGGAAGGGAGGGAGAGAGAGAAGCATCGATGTGAGAGAGAGACATCGATTGGTTGCCTCCCACCCCAACCAGGGCTGGAGATTGAGCCTGCAACAGAGGTATGTGCACTTGGCTGGAATTGAACCCGGGACTCTTAAGTCCGTGGGCCAATGCTCTAACCACTGAGCCAAACTGTTCAGGGCTGTTTTTAGTATTTCTAAAAACTGAGATCACAACATTACATAGAAAGGCATTTCTGAAAACCTCATGGGCAACCAGTGGACTGGGCTTACCTCAGGAAACCCAAAGGGTGAGCACAGAGGAAGTTGTAGTAACAGATGTCCTGGTTTCCAGTGATATTTACCACCTGCAAAATCAAGAGCGAGAAGAGGAGATGCAGTTTTTCTGGGTCCCCCGAGCCAAGCCTGAAATCACAAAAAGCAGGCTCTGCTCACAGTGATGCACTTTCAGTGACTCGAAGTGTAACCAGTGCTCCTTCTCATCAGGGCTGGGTCATGATCTGCCACCTTTACATCTTTATACAGCACAGGCACGTTTCCTTTAAATGCTACCATCTTACTTGGAATTAGTAAAATTTCCTGTCTTCCCCATTATACGGCCTCAAGGTGGAATTCAACTGAGTATGCTTCCTTTGTTCTCATGATAAAAGGAGTATTAAAGGAGGCTAACATTGGGACACTCCTATGAGGACTGCCATGGTACATCCTAGTTTCTAGAGGAACGCTGGGAGGATACGAAGCTGTCCCATCCCCTGAAAATAACCACACTGCAGGTAGACGTGAGGACATGGATGTTGGGTTTTCCATATTTATCACTATCGCTATCATCAAGAACCTTCCCAGACCACAGCACATCTGTCTTCTAAACAGGGCCCCAAAGTATTCAGAGAATATTTAGTTTATAAACTGTGGTATTCAAACCTCATAAAGTCCTTGTCCTCATCATGTAGTAAGTACAAAATCGGCTAAATATCATTAGACCATTGGCTCTCAAAACACACTGGCATCACTGGGAGTTTAATCAATGCTGATGCCTAGTTCCACCTTGAGAGACTCTAATCAAATTGCTGTGGGATACAGCTTGGACACCAGGATGTTTAAAAGTTCCCCAGAGGATTTTAATACACAACAAAAGTTTGAGAGCCATTGTGTTAGAAACACGTTCAGCCTCATGCTATTCTGAACAGCCTTTCTCATGTAGAATAAATCCTAGAGAAGATCATTCAAGTGACCTGGACCCTTGGGTTTTATGAAGGAGTGGTAGGGATTCTCAAGTTTTAATTATTATTTTAGTTTTTATTTTGTTTTCTTTTAATATTTTATTAGTTTGATGAAGCTGTTTTTACTTTTACCAAAAAAAAAAAAAAAAAAAAAATTCCCCTTAGTGAGAGGGCACAGGCTAAATGGAGACATCAGGTTTCTCTGTTTTGGTCTGGAACTTTATTCACTCATTATTTCATGATGGTCAAAAGTTCAGACTGGTAAATCATAGACACAATTGATAGACACTGTGACTAAATGAGTGCAAGGTAATAACTGCGGATTGGTAGACAAAATAATACAAGTGGTCCCAGGTCCCCTGTGATAAAACAATTGGGAATTAGATTTAAAGGCCAGTCAAAGATGAAGCATTGGAGAAGTCCAATTAGAACCCTAATGGGAAATTAATTTTTGGACTGATCCCAAGTTAAACCTTTCTCTGTATATCACAGCAAAGCTCCCTCCCTGCAGTATGAAAGCTTGGGTTCCGGGGTTCAGGACAGCACTTACTGTCTGGTAGGTGACGACCAGCTGGATCACAGGTAGTACATAGAACACAGCGATAGTGACGATATTCCTATGCGGGCAGAAAGAACCGGAAATAGCTACTTCCAAATTAACAATGGAATCTTTGTTCAATTTTTTTTAAAAAGAATGCTTTCACCCCATAACTCCCTAGTCAACTCACAAAAGCAATTAGAAACTGATAATGTGGCTCTCATTTCTCCAGTCATTTGTAAAACTGTAAATAATACTTGCTTCTGGTTTTACCAAATTACTAACGTGAACCTCTCTCTCAAGGATGTTGTTAGAGGGCAAGTGGTCAGAATGTAAGTCATGGGAGATGGATCACACGAAGGGATGTGGCCCTCTTAGATTCCTCTTAGTTCCAAAATGAAAGTCCCACTATATGAAATTCCATGTGGCTCCCATTGTCCTTTGTTTTCCTCTAATATCTGTATACAATTAAAGGGAAAATAATTGGGAAGGAAAGGAATGGGAAGATCCGTCACAGTGTCAGCCTGGGGTTTCTGAGGGGAGGAGGAGTCCCTGCCAGGCAGCTCAGCCTCTCATCTTGGGAGGCTGCCATCTGTGTGTTTGGCCATCACAGATCTAGTTTTCCTTGGCTGGTATCATCTCCTCCCAGGGTAGTTTCCAGCTACTCTGAGATGCTCTAGGCATCTAGTCCCTGAAACCCTTGGTTCGTCCAAGAGCAAGGCCTGGTGAAAAGAGGGGACGGCTGCAGCTTAGCATGTCTCATGCAAGGTAGTGACATTAATGTTAGTGTTACATCAGCCTTCTCGAAGAGGATTTAGTGTGCTCCCTACACATATGGGAATCTACTACCATTCTTATTTTTCCTTTGTATTTATTTAATTTAGGGCTGGTTGCCTTTTGTAGTTTATTTTTGTTTTTTTCTTGTGGAATGTGGCATGGATCCTCGAAACACTTGTATCTGTGCCCCATTAAACCTGTGATATAAGTGACTGTACCTTATACAAAGAAAACTTAAATTTTAGTAAAGGTAACGATGGCCCTCCTGGTCATCTACTCACCAAAAATAAATCTTATATTTTTTGCTGATGATTCTCCGGTCCTTCCTGGACAGATCTGACAGGTAAAGGAACATCTGGGAAGCCAAATAAAAAGAGAACACATTACTGTACTTGTTTTTTTGTGGTTTTTTTTTTTTGCACAAGATACAATGCAGAGCTTTACAAATTTCAGTTCAATTCTTTACTAGGGACTTCAAATGATCTAACAAGATTTTTCTTTTAATTTTGTTTATACCAGAATACCTTGATAAAAATCATAGTTTTTCTCCTGGAATATTAAGAATTGGCTGATGTGGGAAAACTATTGGGAGTCAAATGTTTCTTATATCTCAAGAATTGATTTCCCAGTTTTCCGAGATTTTCTGTGTGGTCCTTGAATTGTAGGATTGAAACTGTGCAATTCATCTTCATATCCCTTCCTGGATACAACACAATATAATAAATATATACCAGAGGGAAGTGAGCGTTACTCCTGGAGGATGATATGTACAGAACCAGGGAGTTTCCAGCTACACCCCTCAATGAACCTGCTCTTCCATCTGGTTCGGTCCCTTCTTCCTTTATCTCCCACAAGTTGTCCTTCAGACCCTGGGGGTGTTTTAATGCTCTATTCTCTTTAATGTTCTCATTTCCTTCCTCCAGAAAGAAGTGCTAATTAGAGTATTGCTTTTAATCTATAGTTATATTTTATCTAAAAAGCCCTCTGGGAAATTTGATTTCTCCTGAAAGGGAAAAATAAAGGAAACTAAGGCATTGCTGAAGTTGTACTCAATTGCTCTCTCAGAGAGGACAGCCAGGCAGAGGTACCTTGGTCCGGATGACGTTCTTATCACTCTCAATGTCTGGCATGGTGTCGAAGTCACTTTCCTCCACAGAGCTGTCCGAGTCTGAGTGGCATGGCTGCGGGCCATCAGAGGAGGACTCCTGCCTGTGGGGACTGGAGCTGGACTCATCTGAAACAGAGAGTGCTCACCTGCCTTCCAAAGCCCAGAACCACCCAGGGAGCCCATTCTCTGCAGAAAGCACAGTGCTGACTCATTCTTGAAAATGTTAGTCAAAACTAACACCTTACCCATGACACATGATCTTTCCTTTCAATTCCTTTTCAACGAATTTTTAATTTTCCTCTTTTCCTATTTTTATGTTTAAATTGTCTATTTCTAGGGTTGAATACATATTAAGAGTATAAAGACATCTGCTCTTTTAACTACTGGATGCAAAGTTAATATGCTACATTTCATGTTTCATATTTAAAATATGAACATAAATATATAAACATACACATGCACAGTTATGTGTAGCATCTATCACTCACATGTGAGCACACACATATCCAGCAGCTATACATGGCTTGCGCATCAAGTATTTGCACACAGGCCCCCACGTGCTGCACCTAGGGTTACATAACCTAAACAACGTTCTCAGGGAGAAGAATCCTTGTGTGCCTATGAGCGTTTCCCAGAGCAGATGGGAATTTGTGCAGCTTGATGAACACATGAGCCGAGCCTACCTTCTGCTTTATTTTTTCTGTTCAGATGGTTAAAAAAAGCCTGTTCCGGCAGAGCCAGAAATAAGTTGCCTGTGCTGAGCCCACACGCTTCTCAAAGTTACAGAACAATAGGGCAGGAATGCAGGATCCCAGTCTCTCCACACTGACATTTGCACCATTCATAGGCCCATGAGAGTCATGGAAGTGCATGGAAGCACTGAAGCACTCCTACTCCAAGACAGGGCTAGGGACTCTGTTTCTTTCAGGCCACTTAATGAACACTGGGGATTGCCATGTAAATGACTGGGTGACAGTGAGCAGGTTTAGTTATGAAGTTAGCTTAAATGAAAGACTTAGGCTTCAGCCATGTTCACTTACAGCTCAGCCTTAGTCTTCTGATCACCCTTCCTCCACTGAAACCTGAGAATGAAACAACTGGTCAGTTGAGGTCGGGCTCCCTAATGTCAGACTCTGATCTTTCAAGTCCTAAAGTCAGACTGGGTATGAAAAATTCCTCATGGGGGCCTTGGGAGTTGATGGCAACCATTGTAGGGAATTCTGCTCAAGTGTGGCTAGCAGATCTAAGAACCAGAATAATAGAACTGGAGAAAGAACTGGAGGGAACCTTCCAGATCATCCAACCACTTCATCTTATAAAGACAATACAGTTTTATGGGATGACTGCATTTGACACTCTCATAGTCATTAGTGGCTGGAGGACCTTTGGAGAGTTAGGAAACACTTTCATGAGTGGACTAGAAGGAAATACCTATTGCCCCATAGTTGCTCCCTTCTGGGGTGCTGGCAGCAATGGGATGTGACACCGCCATACTTCCAGAGCCTATTAAAAAGAAAAGCAAAGAGGCAAACACTTTATGTCCAGTTGCTAAAATAAAAGGGCAGGCATGACACAATTCTAAATAGTCTGAATTCTCAGGACACAATATTTGATATTCTTTTCACGCTAATACAGGAGTCACCAAACTATGGCCTGCAGGCCAAATCTAGCCTGCTACCTGTTTTTGTATGGCTCTTGAACTAAGAATGGTTTTTAAATTACTGGAGGGAAACATCAAAATAAAAATAATATTTCATGACAAGTAAAAATTTTAGGAAATTAAAATTTCAGTATTCATATATAAAGTTTAATTGAGATATAGTCACACTCATTTGGGTATGTCTGTGGCTGGTTTTGGCTACAATGGCAGAGTTGAGCAGTTGCGACAGAGGCTATGTGGCTGGCCAAACTGAAAATAGCTACTATTTGGTGCTTTACAGAAAAGTTGCTGATTCTCGCCTGACTATTGCAGAATCACAAGGACAAAGGAACGTGGGTCCTGAAATCACTGTGAGGAAGGCCAAAAACATCAGGAATAAACATCTGTGATTAAGGCACTGTGTTTGGAGGTTTCCTTGTTATAGCGGTTAGCGGTACCCTCACGATAGGCAGAAAAAGCCCAGATAGGAAAAGAAATTGCTGCATTCCTTGGAGCAGTAAACGATGGCAACATGAACTAAGGATGTGGCTGAACATCAGTTATTTTGAGGGATATTTAGGAGGTAGAATGGGTATATCTATTGCCAAGTGGTTGTTGTCAGTGAGAGAAAAATAAATAAATGCTTCTTGAACTTTTCCAGTAAAGTACTTTTGGCAAGAAGGAAAGTGAACTCACTTCTCTGAGTGTCGATGGTCATCTGGAGCCATCTCACCCCAAGCATCTGAGAAAAATATCTCCCAACTTTTGCATTGGTTATTAGGCAAGATACTATCCCACTGAGTTTACCAGAGTTAGTTGGAGCTGAACAAAGAATAGAAACTGCATCTAAGCAGCTATCTTGGCAGTTTCTGACTCTGACTTAGTGCCCCGACGTTTCCAGGAGTCACACTCATCTGTGGAGATGCGTAAGAATGTTTCTTCCCTGCCTCCCGAGCTTTGCCAAGGCTCTGGGATATTGTCAGGCTGGTGGGAATTTCTTACTGAAATCTCCTTTTTGAGAGATCAGATTGCTTGTGTCACAATACAGGCAAAGGAGTCTCTGAGTAACTTGTCAGTCTCTTGTATTATTCAAGGGAAATATATTTTCAGTGCAGACAAATGAGAATATTCTTTCATATACTCACTGTAAATACATTTCCATTTCTTCATGGAAAACATGGTTCATTATCGTTTACATTAATGCTACAGAGTGTAACACATGTAAAAGGACCAAAAGCTTCAAATAATTCATCATCATTTGTCATAGTCAACTCTTCATCCAGCTCTCAAACTTCATTTCCACGGGTAGGCAGGAAAAATAGTTTTGTAAGCCAGTTTGGTAGGCTTTAAACTTTTTTTACTCTGTGTGTGCCCATTCGTTTCCTCCATGAAGAAAAACAATTAAATCCCAAGTTCAAAATATTTAGCCAGATTGATGAGAGACAAATCTGATGGCCTTGGACACCCAATTTCCTTCCTCACTCTGATGGCTCAGCAGCCAGACAGCAACATCTTGGGGCTAATGCAGCATTCCTGCAGGCAAGGCTGTTCCCAGGGCCCCCAGAATGCAGACTCCCTGGCACTCTTCCTGGGCTTGGCGGTCCCTTGATATATTATTATTTAAAGAAAGATGTTTCCTGGCCTTTCTTGGGCTTACCCATAATACCATGGTATCAACACCATCTCTACTTTTCATCCAACTTCAAGGCATTGAAACAGGTTACTTTCAGACTCTTAAGTATGAGAGATTAAATCTTTTGAGCACACTAACAGGTATGGGAAGATGGTGTCTATAATTTGACTGGCTTTTTTTGACCTAGGACAGATTTGGTCCTAGTGATAGCATAAAGCTCTGCTGCTGTTTCTGCTGCTGCTACTACTGACTCTAACAAATACTAATATTATTACCACCACCACTGCTACTACACTAATGCTTCTGTTACTATGACTACTGCTGCGGTGCAGCTGCTGCTACTACTAGCACTACTACTGGCCAATGGCTATTGAAAACTTACTGTGTGTCAGACACTCTTTTGATTTCTTTACAAGAATTTTAATTTTTCAACAACCCTATGAGGTGGGCACTATTGTTATCACTATTTTAAAGACAACAAAAGGGAGGTGGTGAGATATCAAGTAATTTTCCCAGAGCCACTCAGATATTGGATGGATACTGGTTTATCATAGTGGTCTCAGTTAAAATTTATCATCTTAATTTAAAAAACACACAAAAGTTTTCCTTTAAGATATGAATAACTGGCAGTAAGTATATTACTTTGGTGGAGTGCTCAAGAATATCTTTCAAAAGAGACAAGGAGGTTGAGACTCATATGCATCTCCACTACCATAAATTCATATTTTAAAGAAGTATCCCAGCACAATCTTTGCTCTTTAGATTGGCTGCTGGCTTGCTAATGATTCCCTATTGGGCCATGCTCGTGTCTTCTTTCTGTCTAGTTCATTGTGGGAAGTCTCACAAAAATCACTGTATTGATCTTATCCCTAGGTGCTATATATGGTCTTTCACATTTCTATTTCCCTCGGTCTCTTTCACATATTTTTTCTTTTCAAGCTTAAGCTCCCTATTTTTAACCATTAACGTCCGTCTATCATTCGAGATTTAACTTTTAAAAATTTCAAATGTACAAACAGTAAGTAAAGAATGACATTAAAATAATAAAACCCAGAATTTTGGGCATTTTGGTGTTACCGGGAAGCCCTCTGATGGGTTAAGTAGAAGTGTGCACAGGAAAATGCTTGGGGTCAGTTGTGACAGGAGGTTGAAATGGTTTGTGGGAGTCAATGGTGTGTGTGTGTGTGTGTGTGTGTGTGTGTGTAATCAAAAGAGAAAAACACACACACAAAAACTAAAATCAAAGCAAAGAGAGAGCAAAACAACCCCTGTTTTGTGAGGTGGCAACTTCATTAAAAAGGAAAAGCCAGCTATGTAGGTCTGCTCAGACTTGGATGTATCCCTGATGTCTGCACTCTGCTCTGGCTCATAACTGAGCCTGGTCTGGTTTCGATGTAGCCACCAGCCCTATTCATTCTGAGCCAGCACCAGGGGTTCTGTGAAATTAAGAGCATCAAGATTTTCACGTTCAATACAATTGACAGCACATGAAATGTTTTAACTCTGTGGGTTTTTATAGGCACAATTTAAATATAAGGTTGGCCAACATCAGATAATTTTTCTTATGTCTGAGACTTCCTGAATACAAAACCCAAAGCATTTCCTCACAAATTCCAAGTATGATCAATGATCCCAGGTAGCAAGCTATCTTCATACTTAACTGAATGGTATTGAGAAAGCAGAATTAAATAAAAAAATATTAGTTCATAAGACAGACCAAGATGTTCTGGCTAGAAATAAGCAAACATGTAAGGTTGTGAATGAGCTTATCTAATTGAGGAAACTTGTTCTGCTGTGTTTTTCTCTGAGCACAAACCCCCTGCCATCTGTCTACTTTCTACTTAACATAGAAAAGGATATGCTTGCATGCTTGCTTTTTATGTTGAATGCTCTGTGTGAGGGGAAAAACTTCATTTCATTTTGAGTATATTTGGAACTTTCAGGAACTTCATATTTATAACTGACCTGCCTCTTTCTTTCTATTTCTGTTGGAAGCGGAAGAGGGAGTCAGAAATGATGTGAACTAGCTGCCATGAAATTCCATTTTTATGCCAACTGGCTACCAACCCCAACTAATTTCATGTTTTGTTTCAAAAGTTGAGGAGAAAATGAAGAAAACCACTAATCTCTGCAGAGGGATATAAAAGTCCTCTTATAGAAAAAAACCAGCAAGAAAAGTTAAGGAAATCTGGAAAAAGAAGAGTAGAGAGTCACGACGAGTGGTTGGAGACCCATTGCCCCAGAGTCTGGTGATGGCCTGTGCTCCTTGACTCTTCCAGACTCAACACACTGCTTGTCGAATTCCCCCTGGACCCTGCTGTTTGCTCAGAGGCTGATTCAATAATGGCTCTATCCATGGAAGGATTTGATTGGCCATGTGGTTCTTAAATCTACTAACCTGACAGGTTTGTTAAGCTCTCTCACTTGAAAAGGTGACCTTCTCTTATGCTGTACCCCAGGTTCATGGTGACAGCTCAGATGGCCCCTAGGCCTATGAGGTATGCTTCATTCATCTCTCTTCCCAGCTGGTAACTGAATTTCTGTACAGACTCTCTAACAATGATGTGAAAATGTGGGTTTCTCCACTGATAGAGTCAGTGGAGGAAATTTTTTTAGAGCACAGAACCTTTTCTAATACTCCTCAGATTACCACACAGGACCCTGTTTCATTTTGTTTTTGTTAATCCTCACTGGTTTTTCCCATTGATTTTTAGACGGTGTGGAAAGGAGGGAGAGAGGATGAGAGGGAGAGAAACTTTGATGTGAGAAAGACACATTGATTGGTTGCCTCCCGCACGTGCCCCTCTGGGGGGCCAGGGATTGAACCTGCAACCCAGCTACCTGCCCTTGACCGAGAATCAAACCCAAGACCCTTTGGTCTCCAGCTAATGCTCTAACCACCGAGCCAAACCAGCCAGAGCACAGAAGACCCTGTTTTCAGTACTTAATGATGAATGGAGAATACACTGCCCATCCATTCATACCACAGGGAAACTTCCGTCAAGGACGCTCTTTCCACTTCACCTGGCTCTAGGGTCTCATCCCCTTGTTCACCCCATGATGTATGAAGTAAATTCTTTCTCTTTTTAGTATAATTGGAACCATTCTTGACATTTTTCTAATAATGCAACTTAAAGAACTGCAGACAAATCAAACACAAATGCAGAGGAGTTGACAGGTTTTCCAAATGCAGCCTTCCTGTCGTGACCTAACCGAAACAGACCTGCTGCCAGTCCCAAGGCATTTCCTGTACCTCTGGGCTCCATGAACTACCCACAGCCCCACAGGCACGCTACTCTTGGCCCCTGGGAGAGACAGACATTTCTGAATCCTGGTCCTCTCCAAAGGCTCCTCCCTAAAGTGAGTGTTTCACTTTAGCTTTCAGATAAGGTCCCTCACTCAGGATGGCTTATGGGTGCTCTGTTTGATAGGCTTAAAAGAGTCACTAACTGGTTTTTCTCTTGGGTGAAGCTTGTCTTCTCTGCTCTTGTTTTAAAACACCAAAGTCTTGTCTCACTAGTGGTCATCTGACTTCTGAGTTGTGTTACCTTTTATCTTTCCCTGGCAGCCTCTCTGCTACAAAGATTCTTTATTTCCTCCCTATTTCAAAGCCCTTCGTCATGGACTTTCTTAGTCTCTACTTCCTAACTGAGCTGGGATTTTGTTCAGGTGTCCTCACCTGGGCCTGGCAGCCCATGTGTTTAAGTCAGTGATTCTCAACTGGGGTGGGGGAACTGTTTGGCCCCCAAGATGACATTTGGCAATGTCTGGAGACATTTTAGTTGTCACAGGGACGAAGTGTACTACTGGATTCTAGTTGCTAGAGGTGAGGGATGCAGTTAAATGTTGAATGCCCTGCAACACGCAGGACAGTCCCCAACAGCAAAGAATTATCTGGCCTGTGTCAATTAATGTTGAATTTGAGAAACCCTGGTCTTAGTGAAAGATGACCTCACCCTAATTCTATAAGTAGGCTTGATGGATCTGTGGGTAAATATATTTCTTTGTAGTGGCTGGTTTAACAAGAAGTATACAATTCACTCTAGGCCAATAAAATGGAAATAAGTTGCCGGGTGCTTCTGAAAAAGTCCTTCCCTCTGGACATTGTCAGGTGAGGCTACAAACCCAATCCATTTCACCACCAGCACTGTGAGCAAAGCAGAGCCAAGGCAATGGCAGGGAGAGGACCAGAGCCACCTGACTCAGCCAGTCCTGAAGCCCACCCTTCTCTTCAACTTCCAGGGAGAGGAGCTTCATTATGGTTTAGGCATGTTTGAGATATATTTTTGTGTTACTTGCAGCCACATAAAACCTAACTGATGCATCTTTATCCTTTCCTTTTCTTTTGATCACTCATTCATTTCTTCTTGCCGTTTGAAGGGCACCTCTAGCTCTTAGCTAATTTTCAGAGCCTTCTTGATCTTGGACAATCATCGGGATCAAGTCCCAGCTCTGTCCACCTATGTTTCACTGTGCCCGAGAGTCTTCTGAACATGGCGTTCCTTTAACTAGCATTATAATAATAACATAACTTCACTCATCTGATAAAAAGAACAGAGTATCCATTCACAGAGCACCCAATGGGATCCAACCAATCAGTAAAATAAAAGCAAAACCTGCAGAGCACTGGAGAGAAAAAGGTGAGATCCAAAGAGAAGACAAATTTACTTAAACATCTTATGAGTAAAAGGACAAGTAGTATTTAGCATTTTAATGACAGTAGAGCAGGTGTTCTTTCACAGTCTCTTATATTGGCTGTTGAATGTTATTAAAACAAATTGCCTGGCTGGCTGGAAAAATAGACACGCTGACAGTAAGGAAGACAAAAGTCAAAGGAAGGCAAGAGAAGCAGTAGGGAGTTCAAGTCCCTTCTTAGGGGAGGCGGGGGAATAAATGTGTGTCTTTCTAAGATTCTGTGGGTTCATTTAAGTGTTGAAAACACGAAACTAAACATCTGCTGCTTGTGACTTAAAAATCAAGTCTCACTTCATCATTTGTTTTCCAAATAATCACTCTCTGCCAATGGCTTATGAGCGCCGCGTAACTTACGATGATTTAGGCTTTTCAAAAATAAGGACTTATGCAAAAGGGAAAGACTTCCAGTTATAATAAGTGCTGAGGATGTAATTAATGTACAGCATGGTGACTATACTTAATAATACTGTATTATATCTTTGAAAGTTTCTGAGAGAGTAGATCTTAAAAGTTCTCATCACAAGAAAAAAATGTGTATGTGTGGTAACTAACGCTAACAAGCCTTACTGCGGTGATCATTTTACACAACATACAAATATTGAATCATTACGCTGTATACCTGAAACTTATACGTTATATATTTCAATTTAAAAAAATGAAGACATTTAGTTTTTTAAAAAAGTTTTGATTAAAAGATCAGGCAATTTAATTCCTTTGTTCAAATTCTCAAAGTGGAGGAAAGGGCATATTGCGATGGTTGGGTAATCAATCACTCTGGATTTCTCAAAGTTGTTATACTTATAATATTTGTTAGTCTCAAATATTTCAGTTTCCTAGGTACTTGAACAAGAAAGCCTCTATCTCAATTTGGGGAAAGTAAACACTGTATTAGAGTTAACACAATAAAATTTTAATATTGTTCACAAACCAACTTTGGTATAAGATACGTATAAACAATTTATATCCTAGAAAAGATTAAGGTTTTTAAAAAGAGGAATGGCTGACAAAGGGACTGTGGATAATTACAAGGGACACTCCAAGCAACGGCTTTCAGTGTGAGTCCATGTCTCAGCAATTATGAACTATAAAAATTGATTCTCACTGAGTTCCATTTTCTGTAGAAAGGCTGCAGATCATACTACTCTGTGGGTTAGGAATCAAGGGAGGGTCTGGAAATTACAAAGGACAGAGGGACAAAAGAAGTACCAAATGGGAGCGTTATCACATACATGACATCAATTGGATTTGAAACCAGGGATTTTTCTTACCATCATCGGAACCAAGGCTTCCACCAGTGGAGTTTCTCTGATACCTGCAAAAAAAAAGCACACATACACATACGCCTAAGGCAGCAAAAATCTCAGCATTTCACATTTGTCCCCTATAGACTTTATTGCTGAGGCAAGAGCCCTTCTTCACACTGTCGGTATTTTCTAATAACTCCTTTCCCTAATGTGTACCTGTTTTAGTAACTTTGTTGAATTCACTGGATATATATCTGCAGGTATTTAAGCTGTTCCTCCTTCCCTCCGTCTTTTTCTTTATCAATAGGTATTCACGAATTTCTGTTTTCCCAGTGATTTATAATTCATTATTTTCCTTAATTGTTTTGGTGCTGAGATTGTTCCAGATATGACCAGTGATAATCCCAGGGTTTTGGAAGTGAGTTTAACTGAAAAGCTTCAAAAAGGTCACAAAAAGGTCTTTTGAGTCAGAGATAGGCCTGTATCACTGAGATGACTGTATCACTGTAGTAGCTATGTGGTTTTTCTATAGATGGGAGTTTGCCCAATAATCTGAAAACTCTGTGCTGGTTTTATCTTCTTTACACGTTTGAGAGGAGAAAGAACATTTGTTTAATGTAAACCTCCTGCTATTCTTTTGTAGTTGTTTCAGAGACCACAGCAACTACGGAATTCTCAAGGTTCAGGCCTGCTAAGGGGGCAAGGAAAGACCAGAGCTCCTCGTTTTATTATGGGCTCCAAACTCTTTGAAAGGGCGTTTCCTTGGTCAAATTATAGCACAGTTATCTCCTTTTTTCTTTCTCTCTCTCTTAAGGTACATTTTACTAGAAAATTGATGCTGCCACAGTAAGAAAGCATGTGGCAATGTAATCAAAGCATATTACTCCTGCTATTAATAACTAACTCCCGCTAAAATAACGCTTTACCAGCACTTACTCTGTTCAGAACATTGACATCAACACTGCAGTTACACTATTCTCTGAAGTAAATCATTATCTCATTTTACGGATGAGGAAAGTGAAATACAGAGAGGTTAAGTAACTTGTTCAAGGTCACAGTTAGTGGCTGAGGTAGATCTAAATCCAGTCAATATGGCTCTAAAGCCTCAGGCTCTCATTACTGAACAGAGACAGGCAACGGGATTAACATTTCTTGAAGCTCTTGACCTACCTTAAATGATGAAAACACGCAATCAGCAGACATACCAAATAGAAGGAGAAGAAGCTGAGGGAGCTGAAAAGAATGGATTTCACAAACACGGATTCTGAGGGAAGAGAAACAACTTTAGTTAGGAGAAAAGAGGACAGTGTTTGGGACAGAGCAGCTTCAAAGGCCTGTCTTCGTCATATTCATTCTTCAGTCCTGAAAGGCCCCCATTGAAAGCAGCGAAGCTACTGGAGGGCACCCAGGCATTAGCCGCAAGCGGCTGCCTTTCAGGGCGATGACTCCCAGTGGGGGCTGTGAGGGACTTCCTGCACACACCTTCCTAATCGAGTTCCCTTTCTTTCTGGAAGGAATTTAACAAAATGCTTTGATTCTCTCTTCTAAGGTAAACATTAGCTTTCTTATAATGGTTCCCTGGAAGGATGATGTCAGCACTATATGACCAGAATTATATGATCGACAGGAATCTGTCCACTGAACCCTAGAGCCAATTCTGACCTTTAACAGAAGGAACAATGGTCACTTTAAGGTTCTTTGCTCGTTGTAGATTCCAGGTATGGTTCTCCTTTTCTGGTAAAAAAAAGAACAAGGCAAAATGGATCAGATACTAGGCTCTTGGCCTCTCCTCGGAACAGTTGTTAAAAAACCGCCCAAAATTAACTCGCTGAATTTTCTCTTAGCCAGAGCTAAAGGAAAACCTAACTTCCAAACCTTCAAACCACCTAATATCCCTTTTGGTTAAACTTTCAATTTGGCCTTTGCTTGGGGGCATTTGGTAGCACTAACTGATGCAGATGAGACTTCAGCCTCCCTGCTTGAATGGAGAAGGTGAGACGCCTTTCCTGATATCGAGGTGGCTCAACATGCTACAGACATATGAAGAAAATAGCTACAAAAATAGGAAGCTACCTATCTTTTGGTTTGCATTTTCTAGCCAGTGAGAACTAGTTTTTTCTTATATAGTCATCAAAAGCTTGTAGTTTAACAAAGAACAGTATACATTAGCAAAACTCTATAGAGCTATGTAATTAGGAGATTAAAGAATACAGGAACAGAAATTTCACCTAAATACCGAGGGAACCATGTTACACTCAACAGTAAACACCCTCTGTATGGATCACATATCACATCAGCTGCTGGGGGACCTGTGTTTTCAATCAACAGCCTGTTCCCTTCCCACGGTGGTTACTGGGTAACTGGATAGTTATCCATAACCATTTGTACTGTACCTCAGAGCTCACAGAACCCCTGTCATTGGGACAAGTGTCCCATGTTGCTATCTTCCAAGGTACAACTTTGGCAACTGAAATTGAGAACTCAATTTTCCTTGCACATCCTTGTGGAAATGATGACTACTGAATAATATAAGTGGCTCCATTACTGCTGGCTACCAAACTGATTTTAGAAAATAGACCTTGGTCTGCAGCATACAAATCATTACTTCCTAGTAGCAAATATTTGTTGAGTGAAGAGCCAACTTCACGTGGTCTAAGGGATCACAGGATTTTGAAATGATGCAATGCACTAAGTGACATTTTGTAACATCACTAATACCTTTAGATCTATCACTTTCTTCCCTTTATTTTTTCTCAAGTATCTCTCAGACTGCTTTACCAAGTCACTGCTGATGGCCCTAATTTAGAGGGAACTAGAATTGGTTGTAAAAGGCCAAAGTGAGCTTTTGACCTCCCTTCCACTCTCCTCGGTCGGGTTTTTCTAAGTAGTCAGGTATTCCTCTCTGTCTCTTACCCTGGATGAAGAAAGATCCTCCGCAAGCATAATCTTCAGGCTTTATCACAAATACCACGAAGAACTGCCCGCCTGGAAAATCCTTCTTCTGCACAAGACATAACAATCTCAGGATGTGTTCTTGTGATAAGAAAGATAGAAGGGACAAAGTCCATGGCAGTGGGGTGGGGACAGAAAGAAAGAGGAAAAGGAAGACAAAGTTCCCCCTCGCCTCCTAACTTCTTAGAAAGGGCATTCACATATCCATGATCTACTCCAGTTTATCCACAGTAAAGTAATTGCTACATCCAAGAAATTAAGGTAAGCAGATGCACTACTCTAGTTTCAATCTATCTTGTGCCCACTTGAGTGTTTAAAACTACAATCGGCACCATATAAATAATACATCAATAGTCTATGTTTAATAATTAATACTTGTGTATTATTTTAAAAATTAACAAACTTTATTTTTAAAGCAGTTTTAAACTATATTGTCATTATTATTTTAAAATATAATGATAAATGACTTTCCTAAAAGTCATACAGTTAGCAGTTAAATAAATGGTTTAGTTTAGGGGAGCCAACACAATCCAGGATCCCCGACTTAGTCCTGGCTTTGACTTTCTCTGAGTGTGCCTCTTTCTGTCCCAGTTTCCTTACCCATGAGTGAAGCATGGTTGGCAAGATGACCTATTCTATTTCTACAGCTCCGTTTTCTTTTAACATCCCCAAATTTCTGGTATCAAGTTTTCTGATGTCACTGAGAAAATGGCCCAAGATGGAATCATGGGCCCAAAAGAGAAGTAACAATTTATTGCCAAATATATTCAAAGTAAAGATGTACTGGTATGCTGTGTACTTCTTTAATTTAGTGTCCTGCCTGATGTAAAATATGAGTTCCCTACTATGGTTATTTTTCTGTCCTTTTATATTTGGGACCATACAATGCTGGGATGCTAAGGAAGAAATAGATGTTAAAAACAAGAGCAGATATTTGGGATATCAAATCTGAGGCACTAGAAAATTGAAGCCGGACTGATAGGAATTTTTAGGTTTAATTAACCTCTCTTCATTCTTTGCTGTTACTCAACAAACAGCATCACCTTACTGCAGAGAACAGATGAAGTTACAGATCCCTCAGGTAATTACCACCCCAAAGTCAGGAACAGAATCTCTAAGAAAAAATACTGGCATGTGTGTATATTTTTGCTATACAATTACCATTAAAATAAAAATTTAATTACAAATGCCAAAAGGGCAAACTGCTGCACAAATATGGTCTATATTCCTTTTTAAAATATTTTAAAATTTAAATTTATTGGAGTGACATTGGGTAATATGATCATATAGGTTTCAAGTGTACATTTCTTTTTTTTTTTTAATTTAAATTTTATTTTATTTTAAATATATCTTTATTGATTTCAGAGAGAGGAAAGGAGAGGGAGAGAGAGACAGACAGAAACATCAATGATGAGAGTCATTGGAGATGCAGCCCGCAGCCCGGGCATGTGCCCTGACCGGGAATAGAACCTCGATCTCCTGGATCCCAGGTCAACCCTCAACCACTGAGCCACGCCCGGCCGGGCTTCAAGTGTACATTTCTATGATACATGATCTGTATATTGCATTGTGTGTCTACCACCCAAAGTCAAATCATCTCTGTCACAAAATATTTGGCCTTCTTTACCCCCCACCATCCCATCCCATATTCCTTGAAGCTGTCCATTCTGTCCAGAGTTGAAGCTCTCTTTTGCTTACTATTACTGGTACAAATTATTACTCAACTATGTTTAATTGCTTTAAATGGATGAGATAAATTGTACCCTAAATTGGCATCCCCCATTGAGTAGATTGAAATATTCTGCTTTTACCTTTCTGAGCAATCTGTCAGATATGTACCACTGTATCATGGGTTCACAAGATCCCCCAGGAGGAATAAGGCACCTGACAGAGTAGCATTGCCCACCATTGCCCAAGCTTTGATTTCAGGCACATCAATCTTTCTTTTTAAAACCAATCATAAAGGGAAGAGATCCAAGGCACACAGTGAATGGCAATCCCTTCTGGATGCTGCTCCAGTAGGTAAACTGACACACTGTCATTAACGATAGTGACCACAGAAGCGATGTCTCACCTGTAACGTGATGGCAGCTTTCTTGGTCATGGACTGAAAGACACCATTAAATTCCACATTGTGGTCAAGATCGTACACTGGGCACTGTAATGCACATGAGAGATAAAAAAAAAAGCATCGCTAATGTCACATAGTGTTGTGCTGTTGCAGGAGGTTTCTTACCAAGCCATAAACCATACAAAGTTTTCCCCCAGAACAGTCATGAAACAGTCTCCTAAAACTTGGTGCCTTGTCCTCTAAAGTCAAGGTCATTTTACATCAAAAAGAATTGAAAGGTTGTCCTAAGATTTATAATACCTTTCCTTTTTTTTTTTTTTTTTTAACACTCTAAGAGACAGAAAGGGCCTAATGGTACAATAAAAAAAAATTAAATTATATTTATTGAGGTAACTGGTTAAAAACATTGTATAAATTTCAGGTGTACAACATTATAATTTGCTGTCTGCATACTCTATAGTATGCTCACCGTCAAAAGTCTAGTTCTTTCGTTAGCATACAGTAGACCCTCTTTCCCCAATTCACCCTTTTCCCCACCCCCCTTCCCATTCTGTTGTCTGTATCTATGAATTTGCTTTTATTTTGTTTTGTTAGTTTGTTACATTTTTGTTTTCTATCCACGTATGAGTGAAATCATACCGTTTTTGTCATTTTGAAAACTTAGAACAAGTGGCAGGTTTCTATATTTCCTCCTGGAGGCCGCAACTTCACCTTCTTTGTACTTCGTCATGATCACCCCTCCCTCCCTGCCTCCTTCCCTTCATTTATTCTGGTGAGGAGTCAACTATTTTCTGTTGCCCCAAACCAATGTCTCCAAACACTGACTGCCCAAGACATTGTTCTTAGTACTCGGCAGTGTCGCAGGAGATACCTAGACATGTTCTCCACCCTTCTCTTTCACTTGTACTGGGAAAGATAATGCTCCATATGGGACGGTGGACAAGTTACTGACTCACCATGATGTTCTGGACGGAAACAACAGAACATGGATAAGCCACTTCAGACACAACTTTAATGATTACTGAGTCCACATCTTCAGGAAATTTGTATAGAAAATACTGAGAATAAGAAAAAGAAAGACATGATTGTTAATATTCAGAAATGCTTACAATCATGAATTCAAACTATTTTCACATGAGTAGGATCATTTTCTCTAATATTAGGCACAAAGTTCAGGTGCACATCTCAGTAAACCTCCATAAATTCATTCAGCCATTCATCTCATGGGTGCTGAGCAACTGCTCTCGTGAGGGCTCTTTGCCAGACATTAGCATTTTATCAGTGAGTAAAACAAAGCAGCCATTTCATACAATATTGGCATCTAATTTTCTATGGTTTTTCTTTCTCACCTATACTTGGCTACACTTCCTTTCAGTTTTTACTTAAGAAGATCCCTGCAACCTTTGAATTAGGGATATGTGGGATGTAATAGGAGAAAATATTTACTTCTGTATGGGCATTTTGAAATATGAAGTTCCATTTTGAAAAGCAGATAAGCCTGTTCTTCAAGAATCTTAACCGCCTTTCTCTAGGCAAGAATTAGCACAAGACCCACCCTTCTCCTAGACTTTTTGCTAAATAATTTATTTCCTAGCTGGAATACAGTGAGATGACATTTAGATTCAAAGACCAAACTTTACATCTAGGCCCCTGAAATATATGCTCACAATTTGGGTCAAGTTAAGATATCTCTAAAAGTATTTCTCAAATATCATCAGAATCAGGAAACATAATAGAAAGAGGTCATACTATTTGCCTACTTAGATTATAAATCCCCTGGGGAAAAAATTATTAACTCTATAACTTTTAAAGACATTGCTAACAATAAAGAAAGGGATTTCTGCCCAATAATTATAAATATGGTAACTGGTTGAGAAACTTGACACAAAATACATGATTAAGATTTTGAGGGAACCAACCAAAACAACTCCCATATTTTAGGACTGTAATAAATCTATCACTTTAATGGAGAGGAAAAACATGTCAAAACTTAACTTTGCATTCCAACATCCTCTTTATTAACCTTATTCTGAGAACCAGAGCAATAAAAATAGAACGCTTTTCAATAATCCAAAGCTTTCTGATGGGAGGGAAAATCTCAAGATTAAGGATTGTCATTAACACTGCTATTCGGAAGTCTGTTCACGCTTTGAAAGAGATGGCAACATTCCCGAGAACCCACCTCATTTTGTGCTTTCATTTTGGAGCTTGATTCAAATTTATATAATACAGGGTTCTTCCAAAGGCAAATGCTCTAGAATTACCAAGAGGTGCTCTTAGTTCTTAGGGAAACTAACCTTTGTAACTCACAAACATTACTATGATTAATGTTAGCAATAATGAGCAGCATATATACCTATATATTACAGGAGTTTGTTTTGTGCAGGTAGTAGACACCTACTGAAGTGTTATCTATATGCCAAAATACTATCAATTTTCTTTATCTCTAAATCACCATAAACTCTATATAAATGTTTTTGACCCTTGCCTTGATAACCTACTTTTTATCAGAAATAAGCAAATAACAAGAACCCAAAGCAATGGCTGGAATTTAGGCCAGAAATCATTCTCTTGGGTCCTGAATACCTGCCCAGTTTCTGTAACTTGCTTCTGTCTACAAGAACAGAGCCAGACAGTGATGATGAAGGTTGTCTGAGAATGTGTAATAGTTTGAGTGAGTTTATAGGAATGGAAAATCTTTTCTACAGTTGAAGGGGATATAAAATTCAGGCCCAAATGGGAACAATTAACAACAAAGTAAGGCTTTTATAGATATCAGAGTTTCTATTTTGTTTTATCAGTTTGTTTTGAGTGCATTTTATTCTAATTTGGGGTTTATAGACAAACTACTTAGGCTTTAGTATTTACATACCTTTTTAAAAGTAAAGGAAGCCATAATATATAACCATCACTGATTTTCAGTCTACAAACTCAAAGTGTGTTACAACATTCATATATCGTATTTACCGAGGCTCTGAACAGGACTATGAGACCCTACTCCTTCTGCAGTTGAGGTGCAGGTTTTCCCCTCCCTTTCTAGATATCACCCATTGCACCTGGCAACAAGTGCTTTCAAATATTTCATAAGTTAACTAGCCAATAAATGTCGAGCGCAGTGGTTTGAGAGCCTGTAGTCTTCTTCTATCACTGGGTGGCAGTATATAGGCACTGTGGAGGCTTTCACCACAGAGAAATTGATAAAAAAATGTGTGGGAGCTGGCTCATACAGATTTGGGGAGCTGACTGTACACATCTCTTCCCAACCCTGTGTTCAATGACATCACGTTGGTTGCTGGAAATTGACCATGGTATAGGTATTTATGCTACAGAAATGGGCAAATGCTACAAATTAGGGTTTTCTCTCTGAAAACCAGTTGCTAAATAAATATTTATTATCACACAAGTGGTTGTAATAGATTTACAACAGTTTCCATATAACATGTTAATCCCAGTTTTAGTATATACAAAACAAAAATTAAGTAGCCGTTTATAACCAAAACTGTATTACAACCTGCAGATTTACAATAAATATCAGGATATTAAATCTCTTTTAAACTACTGCATAAACTTTACTCTTTCAAAAGCCATAAAAGAAAAATAGGAAGGTAGCTAGAAGTGTCACCAGAAGCACAGCCTGAATAATGAAAGTTTTCACGTATTTATTCTGTATATGAAAATGGCTTAATGGAGAGCAGAGCACAAATATCTAATTCTTATTATAAATTTTTTCAGCATCCCTGTTCTCTTTCTACACAGGAGAAACTCATTTTATTCCATCCACAACACTATAGAAATTAAAATCTGTTTTATTTTATTGTATCTCCAGGTCAGTTAAGTATTTGTGCATCTGTTTAGTGTTGGCCTTCCACTTCCTGTCCCCTCACTCCCATCGTGATTATAAAGGGTCCATGAGGACAGGAGTTGCATCTTTCCCTCCTTCATTCTACTATTCCCAGCACCCAGTACAGTCTAACACTGCTTGGTATATAGTAGGCACATGATTTGCTGAATGACAGCTGAGCCAAGAAACCTACAAACAAATATCAAGCTTCCCACTCCACACCAATTCAAGTGATAAGATTAAATGTTGTGTCCAAAATTGTAGTAACATGAATAACATTCCAAAAATACAAATATATCTTAAGTTGTGAAAATACGAAGGGCAACACCACATACTGATTCTACATGTTACCATAGTTTCTTTGGGTAACATTAATAGTAGAATCATAACCTTGACACCCTTCACTTACCTGAGGTTGAGAGGGGCTGGCAGTGAAGTGAAAGGCAACATTTGTCCTGAAAATGTGAGTGGGAGAAGGGAAAGTGAGAAGAAAAAAAAAAGTTAGCATGCAAAAATTATTTATTTAAAAGAAAACCATCTTAAACTAGCTGCAAGGAAAGTCTTAGCCTTTGTAAAGCGAAGTCTGTTCTCATCAAACTTACAAAGTAAACTGCATGGAAATGTGCTGATTTCAGCTCTCAGGAATGACCACACTGGGGAGGGAGTCAGTTTTATGTCTTTAAATACCCATGCAGTCATACCTATACAAGTAAGTACTTTTGTAGACACTTTAGCCTTTGGATTCTCTTAAGATTTTATAATCAAGCACAGGGTTTAGGTGTTGGAAGTGGGCTGAAAGAGGAAAGGAAGATTCCATGTCCTTTTGAACAATGAAGATAGCACCTCAAAATAATTTTGAC